GAAGGAGGAAGTCAGGGGCGTCGCGGTCGCCCGCATTGTTCCCGTGGTGCTCCACACCCTCGTTCTGGTCTCGTTCGGCGTCAGTGGGTATAGACTGCGTTGGCACTCGCGGCAGGAGGAGGAGGAAGAGGAGGAGGAGGAGCAGGAGGAGGAATCCAGCTCCGATGGTCTAGGTGTTCTGGCGCTTCTGCAATTGCATTCGGCTTCGGCCGGCCTCTGGAGGTTTCTGTGAACCTCCTGGGGCCTCTGGATGTTTCCTGGGATCTCCGGAAACCTCCAGAAGCTTCTAGAAATTGTTCAGAGGAGGAGGGAGGGACGGGGTTCGCATCGAGTGCCTGCGCGAAGTGTGAGGCCGATGTGGTAAAATGAGCGGCCCACAGGCGTGGGACCGCTGCGCCCGCGACGCAGAGCTCTCCAGGCTGGGAGCGGCGGCGCCGACGGCGACGGCAGCGACGGCGGCCAGGGGGCGGAAGGAGCAGAGCACAGTTGATTACGGGCTGGGCGCAGTGTCAGGGTTTGGCTGCACGCATTGGAAGGCCCGAGCTGTTCCCCAAGTTGTGGAAGCACGGCCGGGTTCGCTGGTCTGACCTGCCTTGGCCCGAGCAGCGTCGGCCCAGAGTCTTGCCGACCGCGGCGGAAGCGCAACCGTAAAGAGCCCACGCCAGGTCTGTCCGCCCGATTGGGGCAGGGTTGCCTTACCCTCTGAGCGGTCAGTCAGCCGACTATCGACCCTTGAGTCGGCGAGTCCACAGGGCAGATGGACCGACCTGTTCCCGCTTAGTTCGGTGGTTCGGGGGCAGTTCTTGGTCCCCCCGTAGGGGCAGGAGCAGCAGGAACTGGAGGGAGGGGGTCGAAGAATTAGCCATTAGGGGCGGCTCCAGCTGCTAGCTAAACTGATCGTGTGTTACGTGTCTGGCTCGTTCCCATCATTCCGTTCCGTATTGTTCTTGATCATTCGTCGTGTGGGAATCGGTTGGAATACAGTCAGCGTCCATTCACGGCGCCATCTGGTGGTGATTCCCGAGCTCAACCGTAGGATTAGCTCCCAGCTGGACCGCTCCAAGGAGAGCCCTCCCATCAGGACTGGCCCAGGTATATAGTAGCATATAGAAGATGCTTCTTGTCATATATGTATAGGGGATTGCACGACAAGCCCTATTATATATATATATATATATATATAGAGAGAGAGGTTTATGTAGTCGGAATTTACATATAATTGAGTTGTATAGGTATGCATCTATAGTCGGGGTATAAATTTAGCCGTGATATAATCATGTGGAATTCCGAATGTATGTATATTGTATACAAACATAAACATACATACATACATCTAGCTCATAAGCAAGTGTATATATGTGTGGGCACAGGCTTGCGGCTCCCAAGTCAGGAGAGCCGTCCCATGATGATCCAGGGCAGGTATACAGCAGCACCTGTACATGCTGCGCCGTTGCCTTGCAGCCGCGTCGCAGCCGCCCAGTAGTTACCGCTCCTTCCTCGCAACGAGGTCCTGCGTCGACACTTCTCAGGAGGGGAAAAAACACAGACACAATTAATCGCCGATCCAAAGTAAAAATATAGGAAAATATGAAGAGTGGGGGGGAGACTAAAATCCAGAAAATGTGAACAATGTGGGATTCCTGGGCCCCTTCAACTTCAGTGTGTCTGATGCGCCACCGGTTAGCTACTTCACAGCGTTTCGCTGCTACCGCAGGCATTGCCATTTTCAAAGTCGGTTTGCAGCTATGTCGCAGCACCTAAGTATCTTCCTCTCTCATGCCTCACGCGAAGTGAACGGTATAGTTAGTCGTGCGTGGCGGAGGAGGAGGGGACGGCGACGGATGAGGTCGAGAGGTGGAGACTATGAGCAGTGGCGGCAGCAGAGGTAGCCCGAGAATACGAAGGGGTCCTCATCCCTTCCTCCTCCTTCCTTTCCTCATCACTAACTCATCCTTCTAGCCCTTATCCTCCTACTAATCCCACTCATTCCTCCTCCTTCTTCTCCTCCCTTCTTTCCTCCCTCCTACTAACCCTCTTCACCACTCGAACCCCCGGAAGCCCATCAGCCCACGCGAATCCTTGAGAAGCCAGGGCGGAGCTACCCCCCACCCCTTTGCTCTACCACATATTACCCGCTCCCCCACGACCAAGATCCCGTTCTTATCGATGTAGCGCGTATATACGTGCATAGAGAGATGTGTATGTACATATATATATATATATGTATATATATGTGTGTACACGAATTAACAAATATCGTGTTGTGTATAAAGTCAGATATACAGCCATACCTACATACATGCACACATATACATATATGGGAGATCCCGGGCCCCGGGCCCCGGGCCGGAACCTCCCTTGTATATAGGGTGCGGCCCTCTCCCGGGGCGCCCTTCCGGCGGCCCCCGCGCGTTCCAGCCCGCCCAAGAGGGCTCCAGGAGCGCCGAGAGAACCCCAGGATCGCTTCAAGACCGCCAAAGATCGCTTCCAGAAGGGTCAAGAGGCGCTCAAACCGCCCCAAGAGGCCTTCAAGAGGCCCCCCACGAGCGCCCCGGGAGACCAAAATGGCCCCATTCCCTTCGTAAAACGTACATTTTTACGATATCAGCTCCCTTAGCTGTCGGAGCGGCCAGAAAGCCCCACGAGGCGCCCAAGGACGCTCCAGGACGACTGAGGACAGCCCCAAGACGGCCCAGGAGGGCCTCCCGGGACGCTCCTCCGGCGGCCCCCGGGCTGCCCAGTCCGCCCAAGAAGGCTCCAAGAGCGCCGAGAGAACCCCAGGATCGCTTCAAGACCGCCAAAGATCGCTTCCAGAAGGGCCAAGAGGCCATCAAACCGGCCCAAGAGGCCTCCAAGAGGCCCCCCAAGAGCGCCCCGGGAGACCAAAATGGCCCCATTCCCTTCGTAAAACGTACATTTTTTGGATATCAGCTCCCTTGGCTGTCGGAGCGGTCCGAAAGCCCCACGAGGCGCCCTAGGATAGCCCGAAGACAGCCCAGGAAGGCCTCCCGGGACGCTCCTCGGGCGGCCCACGGCCCTCCCAGTCCGCCAAAGAAGGCTCCAAGAGCGCCGAGAGAAGCCCAGGATCGCTTCAAGACCGCCAAAGATCGCTTCCAGAAGGGACAAGAGGCCATCAAACCGCCCCAAGAGGCCTCCAAGAGGCCCCCCAAGAGCGCCCCGGGAAACCAAAATGGCCCCATTCCCTTCGTAAAACGTACATTTTTAGGATATCTCATCCCTTGGCTGTCCGAGTTGTCAGACAGCCCCAGGAGGCGCCCAAGGACGCCCCAGGACGCCCGAGGACAGCGCTAAGAGGGCCTAGGAGGGCTTCCTGGAACGCTCCTCGGGCGGCCCCCGGGCCTCCCAGTCCGCCCAAGATGGCCCAATAGACTTCCCGGTCGCCCCGAGAGGGCCCCCGGAGCGCTCCGATACGGCCCAACATGGCCTCCAGAAGGGCCACGAGGCCGTCAAGACGCCCCAAGAAGGCTCCAAGAGGCCTTCCAAAAGGGCCCCGGAATCGCCACGGAATCGGACCCGTGCTTGCGAACACCGTTTTCGGAGCAAACTAGAACCTAAGCGCGCGCGAAGCGCGCGCGTGGTTCTAGTATATGTATATGTATATATATATATGTATATCATAGCACATTTATATATGTATGTAGATGATAGCTGCGTGCGCATATGTATATATTAGGTGTGCAACGCTTCGCGCCCTTCGGGCAGAACGACTTCTGCACTCGGTGGGGCCACTTGCTGTCGGCTCTGGGCGCCCCGCTTGCCAAGGCAGCCTTGGGGCTGAACTTTTTGCCTCCCTTGCCCGCGGGCGCCTGGGGCGACCGACTCCTGCGTGGCCGCGGAAGGCGTTCCTCGCGTCTTCGGGCGTGGGCGGTGGCGCCAAGCGTGTGGCGCTGAGCGCTATCTTTACGTCGGGCCTGACCCTCTACAGGAGGAGTATTCAAAAATAGTAACAAACATAGTCTGAGGACGATGTTTTAGTCTTCTTGGGTATCTTTGAATCTGTTTTCGGTACTTGTATTTTTTCGTCCCAGATGCGCCTGTGGGAGGACGCGCCCGACCTAACGCTATCTCCAGGCTGCCGCCGCTTCGCCAGTTTTGTTCTGCCCCCCTGCGCTTGCGCGAACGCGCGCCGCCTTCTGCGCTGCCGCAAGCGACCGCCGTCTTGTTTCTTCCACTTCGTCGGCTCATCTGCGAGATCAGCCCACCTCGCGGCCGCCCGCCGAACCCTCGTCGCTGTGCAAGGGCCTCGAGCAAGGACGTCGCTGCTTCGCCACCGGCGACCAGCCCGGCCCCCCCCCTCGGCCGTCCAAGCGACGCCGTGCGGCCCGCGTGTGCGGCGGCCCCCCGATCGCCCTCGGGGGCCCTTGCGCGCGCCCGTCGCGCCGACTGACTGGAGACCGCTCGTCTGGGCCGAGTGCGGGGTATTACCAGCTTGGAACATATCCCTATCCCTATGCTGGGCACCTCCTCATCACGATGCCAATCTTAGGGATTCCCTTATTTTTTGAAGGCGAATCCCTAAGATTGTCATCGCCTTTTGGCGTGTCAATCTTAGGGATAGGGATACGTTCGAGGCTGGTAAGGGTAAGGCAGGGTGCTTCATATGATCCCCAAGCGCCCCCCCACGCTCCCGCGGCGTCTGCAGCCCACCCCCGCCTTCTCCTGACCGCGTGCCAAGCTTGACCTGCGGCGCCGTTCTGCCGCCGGCGAGCCGACGAGCTCGTTCCCCGTCGGAGCGGCGCCGCGCGGCCCGCGGGGATTTCTTGCGCGCGCCCGGTGCTCCGACCGCCTGGGGATCGCTCGCTTGCGCTGAATGCGGGGGATCTTCTTCTTCTTCTTCTTCTTCTTCTTCCTCCCCCTCCTTCTCCTCCTCCTATTCCTACGGCGCGGGCCTAGCAGCCCGCGATGCTTTCGGAACTGGGTGCTTCGCGAGCGGGAGCCCCTCCTGATTTCCCGCCTGCTTTGGCCCAGGCTGTCTCGGAATGGCGCTGGCCGGGTCGCCCATCTTCTCGGCGTTGTCCGCGGGAGGTGGGGCGGCGTTGTCCGGGATCGGCTGGCTGTCTTTTGTCTTATCGTGCTTTGTATTGCATTGGCTGGATACTTTTTCTTCTTTTGTTGGCTTTCTTTTATCTCCGTATTTCTTTTTCTTTTTTGTTTTTTGTTTTTACTTTTTGGTGTTTTGTTGTTTTTTTTTCGTTTATATTTTTGTTTTTGTTTTTTTTTGTTTCTGGATGTTGGCTGCTTCCGCTCGCCGCTCGCTCTGGTGGCGTTGCTCGAACTGTTTTGCACGACGCGGACGGTTCCGTTTGTTTTTGTCACATTTCTTGAGGGTTTGCGCGGCATTATTGGCCCGGCAGTAGGTGCCTTTGTTTCCTGGGCGCTGCTCAGTGCTGTCCTGCGCGTTTCCCGGCATCTTCCAGCGCGTTTCCCGGCATTTGCTGGCGAGTTTCCCGCGCCGCGTCCGTCTTTTCTGACCCGGTCCGCGGAGCCCTGCGCGCTCCTCCTTCTTTTCCGCCTCCTCCCCTGCCTCCTCCTCCTCCTTCTCCTCCACTGCTTTTCCTTATGAATAACTCCTCCGTGTCGTGCCCCGAGGCCAGTCGGACGGGCGTGCTGGGCGTTTCGCTTGAGACTTCTTTGCCATTTGCGATCCTGGAGTTTAGAGATTGGCAGCAGTTTCGCACGTGGGTGGCAGGCCGCTTCCAAAATGCAGCTCTCGCCTTGGCGACGCGCGCATTTTTGAACATGTTTCAAGAGTGTCATGATTTGAGAGCGGGCCGTTGTCAAAATGTGGCTTCCCCCTCAGCGCGGCGCGGCGCGAATTCGTTGTAACCGCTAGCAGTAGCTTCACGTATTGCGGGCGGCTCTTTTTCATAATGTTCCTCTTGCATTAGCCCCGCGCACCTTCTTGGCAAAGATTTGCAAAATGTTCACGGCTTGAGGGCGATTCCTTTTCAAAATGTGGCTCTCGCTTCAGCGCCGCGCACATTCGTTTGATCCAGCTGCACGATTTTCGCAGATCCTAGTGGTCAACGTGCCAGAAATGGTGTTTTGGAGCGGCTTAGGATTGCCAGGTCGCAACAGTTACGTTGATTCGCGGGTTTGAAGTTCGAATAATAGTGTTCTGGCACGATTTAGGATCGTCAGGACGCAACGGTTTTGTTGACTCGTGGCATTGGAGTACCTAGAGTGATGTTCTGGCGCGTTTCAGGATCTTCAAACGGTTGCCTCGCAACGGGGCATATCCCTCAGTGGGAAGGAATCCTTGCAGGGAACTTGGAGGGAGGGTTTATTCCAACATCATTTATGGGTCTTGGGTCTGCACTGGTGCTCCTCCTCCTCCTCCTCCTCTTCCTCCCCGCTCCCTCGGGTCTCTCGTCCCTCCCATGTTTTTCTCTAAAAATCGCAACGCGGCGCGCCTTCAGCGGTTGGACAAGGAGAAATGCTTCTGGACCATGACCAAGCACGGCGGGCGGTATTGGCTCTTTGGGAGCACTCTTTCTCTTTCGCCTTCTCGCTCTCGCTCTCTCTCTCTCTCTCTCTTTCTGTCTCTCTCCCTCTCTTCCTCTGCCTCATTCTTTCCGTCCCGCTCTCTCCCCCTCTCTCTCTCTCTCCCCCTCTCACTCTCTCCCGTTATCACTCCCACCCCCGCGTTCCACTCCGGCCCGCTCTCTCCCCTCTCTCCTGTCTCCTGCTGTCTTCCACCTCCGCGTTCCACCATCTGTCTCCCTCCATCCGTCCCGCCCTCTCCCTTTTCCCCTCGTGTCTTCCACCCCCGCGTTCCACTCCCACATCGCGCCCCATCTCCGTCAGTACCCCCCTGGCGTGCAGGGTCACGGCGGAGGGCCGCGAGATTTTTTTGTTGCAGGAAGCTGGCAGCACCCTGCCCGAACTCCAGACAGAGGCTGCCACGCCAGAGGAAGGGGAGGATGAGGAGGAGGAGGAGGAGGAGGACGAGGGGGACGAGAAGGACGAGGAGGACGAGGGAGACGAGGAGGACGAGGAGGCGGCGGACGAGGATGAGGAAGAGGAAGAGGAGGACCAGAGTAAACCCAAGATGCGCCAACGACGCTGCAGTACACCTTCTCGTCCGAAGTCAGCTTCTCACGAGTCCCTGCAAACCTCGCTGCACGCTTCAGGATGCGCCCCTCATGAAGACCAGCACCCTGTGGCCAGCCCTTAAGCGAAAGCTCCGTTTCGAACAGGAATCGTATTGCATCCTTCTGGCGGGAAGCATGGAACACAAGAAGGGATGATCCTACAGTTCAGCGAGGTGTCCAGCGGGATCCCCGTGATAAAAGAGAGAACCACCCCCCGTGGGTTTCATGACTGCTGTGCAGCCCGCACCTCTGGCCATGCCTCTGGCGGAAGCGTCGAGCTGGAGCCCCTGCTCGAGAAGGAGCAGCCTTCCGTCCGTGCAGCCTTCGCACGCAGGAGCGCGTTTCTTTCTTGCTTGGGGCATAATCGGCATTCTAGCCCCCGGCCCCCCTCCCCCGCCATAATGTATCGCCCATTCCCCTCCCCCAGTGCGCTCTGGGCACTGCCGCCGTGCGCACGGCGGGTTGGAGGCGTTACACTATACCCTCCCCCTGGCCCCTCCCCACCCCGCATGATGCCCATTGTCGCCGAACTAAAGAAACTCGCTCCAGGCAAGGTTCCGGTCCGTACTGCGGCTGGCGTGCGGGCGTGGGCCTGGGCGGTTGACGGCCTGGGCGGCGCAGACGCTAGCAGGCCGAGGCGGTGGCGCTGGCTGGGCGGGTGCGTGCGTGGAACAAAAAAAAAGGTGAGAGTTCCAGCGTAAAGAATCGTGTGCCTCCGCCCCCCGTAGCGGCTGCAGGTTCTCCAGGCGATGATGCGCGGCGCCGAGGCGGGGACCCCGTGTGTAGAGAAGGAGCCCAGCTGCTGCAAGCTTGCCAGGCGACTGCGCGAGGTGCCGAGGCGAGAGCATCACGTTTGAAACGGCCCCCTCTATCCTTGTAGCTGTTGTACATTCGGCTTGGTAGCGGTTGCAAGCTGTTCAGACCAGCGTGCGAGCCTTCAAGGCGATGGTTTCACTTTGAGAACGGCCCTCCTCCATCCGTGTGTCTGTTGCAACAGCTCAAGTGTCAGGATCATCCAGCTGTCTGCGGCACATCCCGCCACCGCGCCAGTGCCGCAACGCAGCGTGAAGGAGGTTGAGTTTAAGACGCGTAGTAGAGCTCCTTTGAGGCCTTTGGAGCGCTTCTCGGGAGCCTTTGAGGTCCATTTCGGAGGCCTTCGGTGGTCTGTATTGGGGACCTCTGCGATGCCTCCTGGGGGGTCTCTTGGGCCTTTCCGGGGCTTGTTTTTACCCCCTCGGGGGGGGGCCTCTCTGAGAAAGTCGCCCGGCGTCCGCAGAGGCGCCGCCGACGGAAACCACGAGCCCTTTGACTCGAGGTGGTCTGCCAAGGGCAGCCCCCGACCTGCCGGACATTCGCGTGCCCTGCGGCCCCGCTCGCCGAGGGCCGTGGCCGGGGGCAGCCCTCGCGCTCTCCGCCCCTGCCCGCTGCCAGGCGCGCGCGGGACACCGCGCGCGGGGCACCGGCCGGGCACCATCCCGGGCGCCGCGTCCCGCCGGCGAGCAGGGGCGGGCAGGGGGCTGCTGCCAGGAATTTTGGCTCACCGTGTCGGTTCGCCGATGCTGGCCCGCCCCGCTTCGGCTAGACGCGCTATCCACTTCCTGGTCCCCAGGCATCAGCGCTCCGAGCCTTTCCCAACCTTCCGCTCCGCGGAGCGGAGGGACGCGCTATCATGCAAGGGGTGGCATGTCGCTGGGGTCGCCGCCGCGACACGCTGAGCAAAAGTTCTTCACCGTAGGAGGAGGGCGGGACCATGAAGCACGGGTCTGGAAGCGGGGCCGTCAGCAAAACGACTCAGGGTGACGAGCTGTTCCTGGGTGAAGCCCCCGTTGCCCGGGACCCGTTTCCCTCAGGAACCGTTTGTTTCATGCCACGGTGAGGGTGAGGGGCCTGCCTCGCGGGTTGGGCGGTCTTGGGATCCTGGAGCCCCCAGTCGCTCGAGATGTCCATGGAGAGCGACCCGGGCCAGTTGACCCCTCGGTGGCCTCCGCATTCGTATCCGATTCGCCTCATTCAGACAGCAGCTCTTGGGAGGTCGTATTCAGTATCGTCGCTGGTACATGTGTGGTTGAATTCCGCTGAGTCCAGATCCCGCTGAAACCCGCTCACTCGGGCTTAGTCTGAACTACGTCGGCTTTAGTAGCCCTCTCAGCGGGCTCAATAACCTTTGATCGTTTTTACGCAGGCCTCTCAGGAGATGCTTCCTGACCGCAGGATGTGGTCACCAGGCCGCCTGGGGCACTCCAGCTGGGCGGCCCGCCCGGGCCGCGAGGCTCATATCCATCGAGCTCATCAAGCAGACGCCTGGCAAGCTCTGGAGCCGCCTGATGAAAGACGAGCGCAACTCCAATCGCCCTGAGACCGCGTCTTGCTTTGCTAAAGGCGGGAAGCTGAGGAGAGCAAGGGAGGATAGCAGATGATAAGGATGAGGCGATGGATGAGAGAAGAGGATGACGGCCACTGGATCAGGTTGAGGAGGATCATGAGTTGCTGCTGCTGGTGACACATGCTGCACGTAGCAGCTTCAAGAATGGCGCAGATGGCGATGTCAATGACGACGATGACGACGATGACGTCAATGACGACGATGATGATGTCGATGACGATGACGATGGCGACGACGACGACAACGACAACGACGACGACGGGTGATGATGCTGCTGCTGATGATGATAATGGTGATGATGCTGATACTGATGATGCTGATAATGATATTGGTGATGGTGATGATGATGATTCTGATCATGATCATGATGCTGATGCTGCTGCTGCTGATGCTGCTGCTGCTGCTGCTGCTTCTGATGATGATGATGATCATAATTATTACGATGACAGTGTCAATGACGATGACAATGACGACGGTGACGATGATGCTGATGATTCTGATGATTAGGATGAGGTTGCTGCTGCTGATGATGATGATGATGGTTATGAGGATGATAGTGGCGATGCTTGCGATGCTGATGCTGATTATGCTGCTGATGCGTCGACGACCACGGCGATGACGACGATTACGATGGTGATAGTGATGACGATGAAGATGACGATGCATATGACGATTATGCTGCTGCTGATGATGCTGATGATGATGATGATGATGAGGATGATGATGATGCTGATGATGATGACGATGCTGATGATGATGATGACGATGATGGTGATGATGATGATGATGATGATGATGATGATGATTATGATGATGATGATGAGGCTGCTGCTGCCTTCTGCTGCTGCTGCTGATGATGATGATGATGATGATGATGATGAGTATGATGATGATGATGATGATGATGATGATGATGATGATGATGATGATGATGATGATGATGATGATGATGATGATGATGATGATGATGATGATGATGATGCTGATGAGGATTATGGTATATGACCAGTTGCATGTGTGAGGACTGGTGCATGCGTTCTCTCTCGCGGTTGCGTTCGTAGTTTTGGGCTCAAACAGTTGGACCTCACGTCATCTTCCCCGCCCACTCCGGCTGCCAGGCCCGGGGGTGAGTGAGCCTCTATCGGGCACATCACTGACCAGTGGACCCGCCCGGCTGGCTGTGAGCTAGCAGAGACAGCCCCGGGCCTCCAAGACGGAGGAGGCCGAATCCAGAGGTGCAGGGCTTCTGCTTTGGGGGGTCCCTGGAGGCGAGGGGCAGGGTCGTGCCGCTGGAGCTGGAGGATGTGCCATCCCGGGAGGCGCGGCGTCGTGGAGGCAGCGTGTGTGAGGCCTTGTGGGAGGCCGTGCAGACTGCGGGGTCGTTCGTCAAGGCGGTGTGCTGTGACGTCGATTCTGAGGCCCAGGGGCACGCGATTTCGAAGATCGAGCGTGTGGCCGACGGCTCGCTGGTTCCGGGCGAGATCTACCTCGAGGCGGCCGTGTGCGGGTACAGCGACGAGTCCTACGAGCGCTGGGCCGAGCAGCAGCGGGTGTCCTGGGGTGGTACATGTGCCGGACGGAACGCCAAAACTGCGGGTGCGAGTGCAAGCAGCGCGGCTACCTTACGGTCCACGTGGACGAGCTCCAGCTTTTGGATCCTTACGCTGTCGGCGCCCACGAGTGGGCGAGCGAGGGCGCTCGGGTGGTCATTAGGCGTGCGCTAGAGGCGCTCGCTAGTGAGTCCCAGGAGAAAGGGGAGGAGGACAGGGACAGAGAGATGGAGAAGGAGAAGCAGAGGGAGAAGGAGAAGGAGGAGGGGCCCCGATTGAGAGCCCCGGCCTGGGGCGCCCCTTTCCCACCCTGGGGAGATGGTCCACCTCAGGGGTTGGGCCGTGCTCGGCCGGATGGTGACACTCTGGGCAGGCCGGGGGAGAGGAGCCAGTCGTCGGGGTGTGCGGGGAAGCAGCCTCAAGGTTTCGGCCCCAGATTGCTGGACATCCGATCGGACGGCAGGGGCGGCGTGCGCGAGCGCTCGCGAGACCGAAGGAGACAGAAGCTTGGCCCAGACGACCCTAGAGGCCGAGATCGAGGCCCAGGTCGTGGGCCAGAGAAGCCAGGGGACCACCATCAAAGGGGAGGCCTGGCTGCTATATGCCGTCGTCCTTCGCCGCCCTCCCTGGGGGAGACTGGCGCAAAGATATTGACCAGGAGCTCCTGCGTCGAGCGTTTGCGGGCCGCGACAACTTTTTGAGACGGGGTATGGTAGGTTCGCGTCGTGTCGACCCTCGTCGACCCCGCCGCGGGCGTTCATGGTTGAACGCCGCCAGTCGCCCAGAATCGACCATGATGATGATGATGGTGGTGGTGATGCTGGTGATGCTGCTGATGATGATGCTGATGATGATGATGATGGTGGTGGTGATGATGATGATGATGATGATGACGATGATGATGATGATGATGATGATGATGATGATGATGATGATGATGATGATGATAAGGAGGAGGAGGATGAGGAGGAGGAGGAGGAAAGGGGAGGGAATACCAGAGAGGAGGAGGAGGAGGAGGAGGAGGAGGAGGAGGAGGAGAGGAGAGAGGAGGGGAGGATACTAAAACAAGAGGAGTATAATACTAATACTAACAATAGAGAAAACAATACTAAAGTAATACACTAAGCATAAACATATTAATAATACTCATATAATAAATCAATAAAAAATAACAATAATACTATTACGCAGAATAATATGACTAAGCATAATAGTAGTAATACTAAGAATAGTGGTACTAATCATAAGAAGAAGAAGACGAATACTAATAATACTCATAATAATAAGAAGACGAATACTAATAATCTTAATAAGATTAAGACTAACAGTAATAATAATAATACTAACACTAATAATAATAAAAAATAATAATAATGATAATAATACTAATACTAATAATAATAAGAACAAGAAGACTACTAATAAGAATACGACGACGAATCAGAAGAATCATACTAATAATAACAAGAAGAGGAGGAGGAGAAGGAGGAGGAGGGGCAGTAGCATGTCTGATGCGGCGCGAGTGCAGTTCGCCTGCCCTTTTTCCTCCCTCCTCTCCCCTTTTGTCGCGGACTCTCCCCTCCCCTCCCCTTTTGCCCCTTTGCGCCCTCCCGCTCAACATCTCTCTCCCTCTCCCCTCGTTCCTCCTTCCTCTCCCTCCTTCCCTCTTTTCTCCCCCTTCCTTCTGTCTCTTCCAACTCATCATCGTTTCCCCTCTTCCTTCCTCTGTCCTCTTTCCTCTTCCATATGCCTGGTATCTTCTCCCCCCGCTTCCTTCAGTCTCTCCATCACGTGTAGTTGGTCGGCGCCTGCTCAAACGCGGCCGCCCAGGATGAAATGGGACAAAGACATGCAAAAGACACCCATGATCACTGACAAGGACAACTGGGGTGGTGCTTCCATGGGGTGCCCTTGAAGAAGGAGGACTGCTGGGGAGTGGATGAAGGAGGTGTGGGGGTAAGGAGTGGAGGGGACGGACGGGAGGAGTAGATAGGGAGAGTGGAGGGGGCGGGGGAGGGGAATGGTCAATGGAGGGAGTACGTATAGGGAGAGCGGCAGTACAGGGGGAGATTTTGAGGAACTTCTGCCTCAAGAGAGGTCGTTTCTCAGTCCCTACACCCCCCCGACAACAAAATGATGGGATTAGGGATGAGAGAGGACGAGGGCACGGTTCAAACGCGATGAGTGGCTCAGCCCTGAACCTCCGCCCCCCGCCCCGATCCAAAGTTGACCAGATTTTTGGGCTTGGCGGCCACACCCGCCAACATTGGACGGGGGGGCAGGGGGCGCGCGTCGCTCTCAAAGCGGCTTGGTGACTTCAAGATGATCCGGACATGACGCCATGACCTGATGATAGCCCCATGTGAGATCTCAAAACTCAATAAGGCGCAATCGGACCCGATGGCATCCATGCGACCTCGCGGCGACTCCAAGAATACCCCAAGCCCGCATGCCCACGTTCATAAAGTTACCTAACAGCTTGTTCTGATAGGTTTCTAGTGGTCTCAAAAGAAAGCAGCAGATGACTCCACAGGGGGGTCTGGGCGGGTGCCGGACAGGGTGCCGCAGAAGTCGTTTTAAGCTAACAGTCACACACTTCGTGCTCTTCGACCTCCCAGAACTCCATTCCCGGGCCACATTCTGAATGCCCGGAGCCAACTGTAGGCCACTTCGTGCTCTTCGACTTCCCAGAACTCCATTCACGGGCCACATTTTGAATGCCCGGAGCCAACTGTAGGCCACTTCGTGCTCTTCGAGTTCCCAGAACTCCATTCCCGGGCCACATTTTGAATGCCCGGAGCCAACTGTAGGGCACTTCGTGCTCTTCGAGTTCCCAGAACTCCATTCCCGGGCCACATTTTGAATGCCCGGAGCCAACTGTAGGCCACTTCGTGGTCTTCGAGTTCCCAGAACTCCATTCCTGGGCATGATTTTGAATGCCCGGAGCCAACTGTAGGCCACTTCGTGTTCTTCGAGTTCCCAGAACTCCATTCCCGGGCCGCATTTTGAATGCTGAGGCAGGCTGAGGCTGAGGCTGAGGCAGGCTGAGGCTGAGGCAGGCTGAGGCTGAGGCCGAGGCTGAAGGCAGACTGAGGCTGAGGCTGAAGCAGGCTGAGGCTGAGGCTGAGGCAGGCTGAGGCTGAGGCAGGCTGAGGCTGAGGCTGAGGCTGATGCAGGCTGAGGCTGAGGCAGGCTGAGGCTGAGGCCAAGGCTGAAGGCAGACTGAGGCTTTGGCTGAAGCAGGCTGAGGCTGAGGCTGAGGCTGAGGCTGAGGCTGAGGCTGAGGCAGGCTGAGGCTGAGGCTGAGGCAGGCTGATGCTGAGGCAGGCTGAGGCTGAGGCTGAGGCTGAGGCAGGCTGAGGCTGAGGCAGGCTGAGGCTGAGGCCGAAGCTGAAGGCAGACTGAGGCTGAGGCTGAAGCAGGCTGAGGCTGAGGCTGAGGCAGGCTGAGGCTGAGGCTGAGGCAGGCTGATGCTGAGGCAGGCTGAGGCTGAGGCTGAGGCAGGCTGAGGCTGAGGCAGGCTGAGGCTGAGGGCCGAGGCTGAAGGCAGACTGAGGCTGAGGCTGAAACAGGCTGAGGCTGAGGCTGAGGCAGGCTGAGGCTGAGGCTGAGGCAGGCTGATGCTGAGGCAGGCTGAGGCTGAGGCTGAGGCTGATGCAGGCTGAGGCTGAGGCAGGCTGAGGCTGAGGGCGAGGCTGAAGGCAGACTGAGGCTGAGGCTGAAGCAGGCTGAGGCTGAGGCTGAGGCAGGCTGAGGCTGAGGCTGAGGCAGGCTGATGCTGAGGCAGGCTGAGGCTGAGGCTGAGGCTGATGCAGGCTGAGGCTGAGGCAGGCTGAGGCTGAGGCCGAGGCTGAAGGCAGACAGATGCTGAGGCTGAAGCAGGCTGAGGCTGAGGCTGAGGCAGGCTGAGGCTGAGGCTGAGGCAGGCTGATGCTGAGGCAGGCTGAGGCTGAGGCTGAGGCTGATTCAGGGTGAGGCTGAGGCAGGCTGAGGCTGAGGCCGAGGATGAAGGCAGACTGAGGCTGAGGCTGAGGCAGGATGAGGCTGAGGCTGAGGCAGGCTGAGGCAGATGCAGGCTGAGGCTGAGGCTGAGGCAGGCTGAGGCCGAGGCCGAGGTCCTGCAGGCAGACTGAGGTGAGGTGAAGCAGGCGGGGGTGAGGTGAGTCAGGTGAGTCTGAGGCGAGGCAGGAGCTGAGCTGTTGAGGCAGGCTGAGCTTGAGGCTGAGTCTCTGCAGGATGAGGACGAGGCAGGCGGAGGTGAGGCCGAGGCCGACGCAGACTGAGGCTGAGGCTGAAGCAGGCTGAGCTTGAGGCAGAGGCAGCTGAGCATGAGGCTGAGGCAGGAAGATGCTAGGCAGGTGAGGCTGAGGGCTTGAGGCTGATGCATGGGAGGCTGAGGCAGGTGAGGCTGAGGCCGAGGCTGAAGGCAGACTGATGCTGAGGCGTCCCATATGTTCGGGTCTTGAGCTGAGGCAGGCTGAGGCTGAGGCTGAGGCAGGCTGAGGCTGAGGCTGTGACTGCGACTGCCGTTGCCACTGCGACTGTCATCGCGAATGCGACTACGCCTGCGAGAACAGCAGAATTCTACAACTGGATTCTCATCCGAATCTTAAGGGGAATGCTTCCAGATATGCTCCTACACATCGCTGTTAGGTTGCTTTGCCGGGATAATTCTTCGGGTGGGTGGTAGACGGTCCCTTCGCCGGCGCAGGACTCCATCCCCACCCTCGGCGCTGCCTTCTGCGCCGCCCCCCAGCCTGTGGGCGAAGAACATGCCCGTATCCGCGGCCACACGGACCAGGCCCTTGGGCCGCGACCCCGTGGACACGGGGCGTTTTCTCGCGGATGCCCCGCGCGGAGTGTATCCGTGCGACCGCGTGTCCACGGGGTCGCGCCCTTGGAGACCAGACCGCGAGTGCGTGGATGTGGATTCGCTCGCCGCTCGTGACCAGCGCCGCACCCCAGCGGCGCGCCTCGCGCGCCGGGGAAGAGTGCTGGGATGGGCCTTGCGCTGGCGGAGAGACGGTCCGCGGACGTCCGACATGTGAATCTGTTCTTCGCTTTCTTCTTCTAGGCACGGCTGCCTTTTCACCATGGTCGGCCTTGTGTTCTGCCTCGCCGCACGTGCTGTTGCGGCTTTGGCGTCCTCCGCCCTTGCCTTGG